TGCTTTTCTCGTATCGTTTTTTGAGATTTTTAGCCCATTGTCTGAAGTTCAATAGTTACTTTTTCTAAGTAGAAACATAGAGAACTTTGTACTCTATCGATCTCACCCATTTACAACTTCATACAATTTTTCCGCTGTTGACGTAGCGGAAGAACTTATAACTAGTTCTCAACCGGCTTTTCAAATTAAATTAATTTTTTTAATGAATGATTTCAAGTGAGAAACTTTGTTTATATATCAAAAGATGCAGAGTTTAATTCTGTATACGATAACAAGACTAAAACCCTGCATTCAGAACGTTTTACTGTTTTTATAGGCAAAAAAACTAAAGTCTGTGAAAAATGGGTTCAAAAGTTAGGGTTTTTTAGATTTATCAGTGTTTTGCAAAGAGAAGGTTTCCTAGAAGGCTTAACTGCAAAATTTCGAAAAATATGTAAGAAGATGCAAAATTTTCCGGTGAATCTTCTGATATTTTCAAAATCCTTATGGAATATGTTTTTGGATCAAGGCAAATACTTTTCTATTTTTTCAGTGTGTCACAATTCGAGAACTTAGCACTATTCAATATTTTTAATGGTGCTCAAACGAGAAAAATGCTATCGGAGATTCACATAGCACTGAAACATTGTAAAAAAAAGTGTTCTTTTTACTTTTAGTCATAAAAGGTAATTTTTCAAAACCTTGCCAGCGATTCCGCCATAACAAAGGATTTCCAAGAAAAGTCTTCGCTAGCGAAATTATAGCGTATTCTTGCCACAAGGACTTCTGAAAACTCCCGCAATTATTGTCAGAATTAATAATTTTTAATTGTAACATGGTGACTAGATAGCCCAAAGCGTTTTCTGCAGTTCTGCGCAACTCCTCTATCTGTTGTGATTCTCGAATGGAAGGCATTTCTTTAGTCAACCGTAATTCGTTAATATTCCGTCGAGTAAATGCCTGCTCTTCGAGAACTACAACAGATAGAGAAGTCGGTCTTGCGCAGCATTGCAGACAACACTTTGGGTTATCCAGCCACCATGTTACAATTAAAAATCCACCTCAAATTTAGACTCTGGCAACCTTATCGCTTTTCATCCGTCCGGTACACCACCTGAAAAACCAAGATTTGTAGCACAAAGTATACGTGAGATAGAGTAAAGCTTTCTCTACAAAATACTGAAGACTTGAACCCTCTATCTCTTTTCATTCTCGAGTTGTTTCAAAAACACCCATGGTCGCTCTATTGAAATCAGTAGTAGAAACCCTGTCTAAAACCAAGCGTAAATAACTAATTATCGGTAACATTTTGAAAAGACAAATAGAGAAGTTTGTAGCGCTTGAATATCTCCTGTCGAATGACGAATTACTTCACCATTTCCAATAAACCGTTTTTTTTTTAAACTATTTTATTTAAAATAAGAAGTAATAACTACTATCCGTTCCAAATGGTCAGACTGCTGGTTGCTTTTTGAATAACTTTTGATAGGAAAGAGATAGAGACCTGCAATTTTCGCTGCTCAATAGCCAAGGCTTGAGCAGAACTTTTCACAAGCGGAGGCAACTTTTGAAAAAATTTCAGAGATCGGGTTTTTAGAGGATCTTTGGAAAACCAGCTCCGTTCTCAGAAAACTAACATACAATGTTAGTAATTTTTTTGCATGCGTAGATAGTTCGGACTTTACTCTACAAAATTATGCAGGTCCCGGCTCTCTAGCTGTCGTCGTTCGGACAGGGCTCGCTTTCCCCGAGCACGTGTCTATCTCCGAGCAGACATCTTCGGGAATCTCCGAAAACTGCAGGTCTCTATCTCGTTCCTATCAAAAGTTATTCAAAAAGCAACCAGCGGTCTGACCATTTGGAACGGATAGTAGTACCGTTAATAACCGTTAATTTGTAAATACAAGTGTAAGGCCCCGGAATGACATTAATTAGTATTTATTAGCATTGATGATTAATTATAAATTAATGCCTTAAGAAAACTTTTTTCATCAAACCATAACAACGAACTATTGGCTATCCAGCAATGCGTAAATGACTTTTCTACGATTATTTTTGATCGAGCTACAGGCTTTTTAAAATGCGAACTAGAACTTAAAATTTTAATTAAAATTTAAACTTAATTAATCGATAACTCTATGAATAGTTTTCAGTTCATCAAAAACACTTAAGAATATATGTAATCAGGTGTTCTCTTTAAACTGACATAGTTTGAGGACACATATAGTGGAGGAACCCTCTTAAGATATTGAGTTTGGAGAGTTTCTTTTGATCTCTCCTTGTTTTTAAATTTTTTCGTTATATGAGTTTATAGAATTCAAAATTTCTCATATTCTTCATCGAAGCGAGCCACTTTTGAAAGGTTGTGTTTGCAAAAGCAAAAAATTATCATAATCACAGTTCAGAATCAATTTTTCAAAATCTTAATGCCAAAAGCAAATATGACCCTGAGTCATATGCAACTGATTCATGATTCTATCACTGGTTCTATCTAGCAGGATCAATCGATGTTTTTCCCATACTTTGAGATGAATTTTTGTATAAATGGTTGTTTAGAACCAGTAGGCACCTGCCATAAAGTAAAATTTAGTCTTCAGTACCTCTGCTATTCCAACTCCACCATCGTAGACAGAAGTTAGACTTCTCTTACTAACCGCTTCATATGATTCTTCAAGTAGTTTTGTACGTTTTCTTGTTGCTGCTGTTGAAGGTCGTGAAATCACTTCTGAAAGAGAAAAAAATTCGAGAAATAACCAAGTTTTGTTACACGAAAGAACTATATGCATACTTTGTTTTTTTTCTGATTGTTTCTGTTGTTGTTTATTATCTTCTTCATCTTCTTCATTATTTGTCATTTCTTGTTTATCATTGTTCGTCGTCTAAAATTTTAATTTTAGACTTCAAAGGATAAATACGAATTGTAATCTCTAAAACCCGTTTTTTTCTCTGAACTTAAAAGTGTAAATTTCTCTTTTCATACCCATTTACAAGAACGACTTGACTACATGATGATGCAAAGATATCCAAAAAATGTTTACCCTCCCGTGCACAAAAGATATTTCAAAAATAGACCCATGATCCAAAATATTGAATCGATGGGTCAAATTCGCTCACTTAACTTCCATACTATATTTATCTTACTCAGTTTTGGGCGCTCTTTCGAATGAATAACTTCCGTAACATTACTTTTGTGAACAGTCAATAATTCATTGTTATCATTTATATATCTACTATGTTATAGTCCAACAGTTCAATAGGAACTTTTCACATTTTTGCTTCGTAGAAGCAATGCTGGTAAATTTTTTTTTGTTTCATACCCTAGATGGCATCCAGTTTATCTGGTCATACCACTGGTCAGATACGGGTGAGGAAAAAAGTCCTGCCTGTTTCCCTGGTGAGGATCTGTTTTTCACCTGATGAGTGAAAGAAATCAGAACCGCTAGCTTGTTGCATATATGCAAAGATTAGATGTTGTATATATGTAAAAATTACGTGTACTGCTCGCTAATCACCCACACTGCACAAAAATTATAAGAAATTCAGAAAGTTTTCTGGAGGCCTCCCAATGCAACCATAAGACTCGGAATGTCGTTAGATATCTCTTGTTCAGTACAGAAGTCCCTAAGACATTAGTCATAACCTATGAGAATAACTCTGAAATTTTTCGAAGAATTAGTTGTCATTATATATTTCATGACTTAGCAAGACAAAACGATGATTATGAAAAAAAATCCCAGCTCCTGTCTTGAACCTGACCCGTGTCTGTTACTCAGAAAATACCAAGACCGAACAAAAAAATCAAGACCAGACCGAGATTTACTGTTTGTTTGATCAGTAGAAAAAATAGACTATCTTGATCTGGTCTTATCACTTTCTTGTTCTGACCTTCGAACTGACCTGAACAAGAAAGAAAAGTAGAAAACAGATACGTATAAGGAAATAAGTCTTTACTGTGCCTTCAACAAACTGGTCATTCTCTAGGGTAACCTTAATATTTTGCTACAACTTATAAAATGAGTCAATAAAAAGTGTCTTAGAAAATATTTTCATATAGCATGGATCGATTTAGGACTATTCTTCGCAATAGCGTACAAGCCGGAGTCGGATTTAATATCTTTGTAACTAATAGGCGAGTGCAACCACTCGATAGACAGATAGTTTGACGTTGCGCCAATAACTTGTGTTTTTGTCACTGCTAAAGTTTAATATCATGCGGTCTTTGTCTTCTCCTCTTTGATCCACTTTGATATCAATTTTCACGCGCTTTAATACACGAGCTGAGCGAAACAAATCAGCTAATTTGTGACCATCAATTGTATATCGGTGTTGGAGACCTGCAGTAAGTTCAAACCACTGTAAGTTTGGCATTATTTGCAGTAGAAGTGCTACACGATCCCGCGATAATTCAGGAGTACACAAGTTTAAATATTTTATCGTTGAATAGACGACAGTAGTTGATAAGACGTCAAAACAGGGCAAGTCAACGTTTAAACGGACAAGCTTCGGGCAGTGATTTAGTGCCACAAATAAACTCGTTGCACACCAAATGTTGAATTGTAAATGTTCAAGATTGGTCGGAGACAAGGATGTTGGAGTATCGAGATAATTCGACCAACAATTCGATTGAGTCAAGAGTGTTTTTAGTTGGGGTAAATAATTTTCGATCATAATCATTCGGCCCAACTTATGAATATCCGCATGGTAGGTCTGAGGTGAACGCCAGTAAATGATGAGTGTAGTCAGTGTTAATAACGATTTGAGTTTGTCCAGCAATGGCTCCACTTCATAGTAGCTGCTGATTCTCAATGTTTTTAAACGATTAAATACCATTACGTCTGAGTAAGATAGAAATAAGTCGACCCGTCCTGATATTGTCATTGATGTTAGACGGTCAGAATAGAACGGCAGAGTATGTGCGCAAAAATGATGAAGTTGTTCATCGTCCGACGGTAACAAGTCAGTGTTGAATGACAACGCAAGATATTTATCGGTCAGAATAGAGTTCAATCGAAAATTAATATTGAAAAAGGCTTGATGGAGCAGATAAGCGTTATTACAATAAGAGAAAATTTCGAGAAGAATTTCATCACTGATATCTTCAAACGTCGTTGCTATCATCATTTTTATCTAAAAATTAGAGACTAAAATCTTTCCATCTCACATGTAAGCGTACAACTTCCACTCTGCCTTGCGCAGTGTATTGTATGATCATAACAAGTACTTGTTCTGTATGAAGGTAATTTGGAACATGGACACTGTTTAAGCAGTTCTACTATACAACAAATGATAAAAATCGGAAATGTGTCTTTATCTGAGGGCATATTGTACTTCCTAGAGAACAGGTTTATCTCAAAGATTCACAGAGAAAATTCCGCCTAGCGGCAATAATCAGACAGCCACCGACGCAGTCTATATAAAAAATCAAATATATCTTTTAGTAGATAAGAAAAAGTTCAAGTTTCTTTTGATTTACGTAGCAGACTCTTTCCCCAGACCAATAGATTATATGTATCCATGAGTCGCTCCAAACAACAATTTTTACCTCGCGATTCATCTAAAAATTTCAAATTCATAAGTTAAACTAACTTTTCTCAACATTCGTGCGGTGTTCTTTTAAAGTATAAACTTTTTAATCTAAGATTATCAGTGATACCTCTAAAACTATTTCTCTCTCTTGATTCGTCAAGTGGGTGAAGTTTGATCTCAAAATAAAAGTTAGAGAGATTGATGTCTCACAGTTTGCCTGTGAGTTTCCCGATAGTGTAACCTTTGCCGCATGCGAGGATCACATCCGGACTTGGGCTTCCAGAGGATGTATACTCGAGGGTATAGACGCCAGGGAAGGGCAACCCCCTTAAAATCGAAATCTGTTCTTTGTTCACACAATTCACAATTTACTACGCTATTCCTGTACACTGATCACAACAAAAAGTTTATCGACTCCCCCCTCCCCCAATTTTAGAAGCCTGGCACCAACCCTGTTCAGACAGCCGACCGGCCGATCCTGACTACAATGGTTCCAGTCGTGAAAAAAGACTTAAATCGGCGGTCCAAAAATTTTAGACCGTTTACAACTATGCCACCAATGAAACTCACATTTGTGATGATATCAACTTTCAGAAGATTTTCTCACCTTTTGGCATTTTTATTTGAGTTCTAGGACAATCACTGGGGTCTATGGACTAATGTTAAAAAGAAAAATATTAAGCGGCTAATATTAAAAATCGATTAAATATTATTATTCATCCAAAAAAAGAATAACCCATGACCATTCTTTTAATAACTCAAAAGCTGAAAGAGCTACAGCGGTGGGTTTTTCAGATATGGAAAGAGCAGTTCATGGAGCATCTTTTCGTCAGCAAAAACTTTTCAAAACGTTTTACAAAAAACGGTTTTTGAGCGGATCTCTGGAAAGCTCGTGCATAACGGAAAAATTTGAAATACTAAACTATTGGTTTTTTACATCATTAGATAAAAGAAAGTGCTCTCTGCAAAACGGGATCCAGGCGACATCCTCATTTACCATGCTTCGGTAGCTACAGGCATTTTCCGCAAAGCCCTAGGACTACTCAATGCTTTGGTCTAGAAACTTTAAAAGCTATTGAAATATAATGTTCCAACCATCGCGAATCTTGTGGCAATGCGTTTTTGCAGAATAAAAGTCAAAGCCTAGTGAAAACTGATACTAGATGAAATAATCCATTTTTGCCTATTTCCATCGAGAGCTAAAAAATTCATAACTACTTCAGAATATCAACATGTACTTCACTTTATCTGAACTACATCATGAAGTTCATTACAAACTTTAAACGCCAAGAGAAGGTATTTCGGTCTTTTTTAACAGAATCTCTAGAAAACTTTAGGAACAAGAGAATTTTTCTTACCAAGTTCAAGCCTAGAATAAGGCTAATAAGATAAA